TTGTCCAAATTTGAACTTCAAATAAAAATACTGTATGTATGTATTTTTTAGATTTTTTAGTTTTGGAACCTTATTTTAAATTTTCCATCCTAAACCATAAAAATTATAATTACATGCATTTTTAACTACAAAATCATTTTTCAATTTTTAATTTCATAAATGTTGTCAAAATTTGAACTTTCAATGTTTATAAAAAAAATCGTTGTATGTATAATATATTTATTTTTAATATTTTTCAACTCCTATTGAAATAATATACTTATTATCAAGAGTCTTGTATAAAAATTGCACACTTTTTGACCCAACTAATAACATTTTATTCACATTTATAGAAAAAAGAATGAAAAAAAATGATAATTGAAAATGTCCGTCAACTGATTAAAACAAGTCGAATTATTTTTGAAAACCTTATGAAGTATATGAATTGATAAAATAAATATATGGTGTGAAATTTTAATGTCTACAGCTATTTGAATTACAAAAAAAATTTAAAAATCGCTACATGAGAAATCCAGTGAATATCTGATGTTGTAAAAATGTCAACTTCAAACGCTCTTTAAAATTTAATTTGACTTCCCGGTTGAATTTTTTTTTTGGTAAAAGTAGAAAAACTTATAAAGGAATTTTCTATTAAAATTTTTTAGACATGAAAAACTGAGAAAATATTCACCTATTTTAAGTTAATAATATTTCCAAATAAAAAGTTTTATACTTATTTTTTTTTACAATTTCAGAGAAGGCAGTAGAAGAATATTTAGATGTTATTAGTGAGCTAGTAGAATACAATGATTGGAAAAGATGAACACATTGATAGAAGTATGTTATCTATTTAGAATTTTTAAATTTTTGTTCAAATTAATGTATTAATTTGTTAAATTGTTTTACGTAAGAGGAAGGACCTCTAGAAAAAATAACCAAAAGGATTCATGTGCTATGTAGTTGTAAAAATGATTCCATGACAGAATAAGATGCAATTTGATGTTAATTTTTGATAAAATGTTCTATAGGTAATCTTAATTTAGAGTAAATAATTTCATATCAATGTAAATTTACTCTTCGTTGAATTCATTGAGATGAATTTGAATAATGAATACTGTATTTGAGCAAAGAGTTTTTTCCATATTTGTATTTTATTGTGACAAATAATTACTTTAAAAGTTTAAAATTTAAAATGCATACTACTCGTTAAAAAATAAACATGACGAACAATTCTTAGCTTTTCTACCACAGTTCATATTCTCCTCTACAAATTTGATGATATTTAAATTTACTCTAATATTATATATTAATATATTAATTGTTGTAGTCATAATGCAGTAAATAGATTTGTTATGATACACATGTGACAGAGTAACACATCCAGAAAAACTTCCTCTTAATTTGTTTTATAATTATGTTATAAATATTTTCATTGCTTTTATGGTATTATGCTTTTAATCGAGGAAGTCTTGGTGATTTATAAGCTGAAATAATTATAAAGTATTAGTTCCTGTATAAATGTATGTAATGTAGTGTAGTATTGGCAGAATTGATCGCGTATGAAATTGGTCGTTAATATAACTGATCATCAAACAAAAATATTTAGTTTCCCAGTTATTGTATCACCCAATTATGTATTACTTTGAATAAAATATTATAATTATGTTTTCATTTAATAACATTGTTTTTAAATTACTTATTTAAATTATTATTTAATTAATTCTAAATTAACTTAGTGTTTGAATGATAAATGGATTATGAATCTAAATATTGAAAGATTCAAGGATGAATATTTATTATTTTGTTTTACTTGTGTTTATGATTTTCTATTAATTTAAAAATTGTTTATTTTACAGTCCAGTTGAATTAAGATCTATTGAAAGATTATATATCACTTCAGGAGAATTCACAAACCTTGGTGACCTTCTGGTAAATCTTTTGATCTTGTCATATAATGCTCTAATGATGAATAAATCTATTCTCCTATAGTATTTAAAGAATGTTCTAAATTTTATTTAAATCTTAAACAAAATCGTCAGGTATTACATTATGTATTGATGTTTTCTTTGTTCAAAGGAATTTTTTGATGTAGTTGGTGAAGATAATTGACTGTCAAGATGTACCTTAATTGTGTATCATATTGAAGCATTTGACCATTCCACCATTGTTTAGCAAAAAATAATGTAAATTATTTACCTACTCAGTTTAAACCCTAATCGAACTAAAATTGTGAGTACACTACTGGTACAGTGTAGAAGTTTTTTTTACCAATGCAACTAGTATTATCAAGTCTTGAGTATAAATTTTATTTCATATCAAAATATTTTTTTGTTAAAAAAATGCCTTACTCAAGTCAATTTAGTTTAGGGATATTTTGTAATTGTTTATTATATATCTTTTCTATATTTTTTATAAGTTAAATTTGCTTAAAAGTTACATGTACATTACTTTTGTACTTATAAGAACTCTCAAATCCATCTCAAGTATGCTTAAAGGAGCAGAGCAAATTAATGTATCTTATATTTCCAATGATAAATTTGCAAATAAATAAATAAATATAAATCATTATATTATTTTTTATTAATTTATAAAAAGTTATAATTTATGCAATATTTTTGTTTATACCTAATATAATATAATAACTAACTTTAATTTATATTAAATTATAGTTTTATCAACAAAAAAATGAAAAATATAGGTAACAGGTATTTTTTTTTTTTAATTGTTGACATTAAGAAGTATATCTGATTACAATTTAATTGTACACATGGTTTAGGACTAATTGAACATAATATACCTTAATGATGTTATTATAGAACATGGGCCTTCAAATATAGTTTGCCTCGTTAATGCCCAGCCTTGGTTATATCTAACTCAGTACTTACAATGTCTGAAATTATAAGCACTTATTACAAAGTGTTGAAGTATAGGTGTTCATTTTTCTTAATTGTTTTAATATTATTTTAGAAATTAAATAAATGTAAATATTTATGTAACTGAGACTTTAATGAAGATTTTGATTTCCATCGTGTGAAATATTTCAATGCTCAACAAATGAAAATTTATGCAATATATGAACACCTATTAAGAATCAAATTGAATAATTACAATGATTATAGTAGCATTTACACAGTTTAATGAATCATTTTAAATAATAATGTAAACTAAAAAACCTCATTGATGAAATCAGCAGGATATTATTCAGTTAGATAAATATGGAAATAATAATAATAATAGTATGTACAAAAGAGTACAAATGAAGACATATAAAATATTTAGTTTTATAAAATGATAATTATTTATATTTAATTTTTTTATTTAGTTTTTTTAAATTTAATTGTAAATACTCGTGGTAAGATGATAGAGTTATTATAAAAATTACATACTATTGCTATGTACTGACGTCCCGCCATATACGCATATATTTAAAGGCTTAATAGCGAGGGGGACATAATATAAGATTATTCACATTAGGAAGTTGTCGACCTCGGAGATTTCAGAACAACGACGCAATAAGAAACCGGGTGCGTAGTTCTGAGAATCCGACTACCGAAAGTGCGTTGCGGAAAAATAAATAAAAAGAGTTAAAACGCGAAACAACTATAAAAATGTCAAATATAACAATATCTAATCTCTCAACCGACACGACCGGGCAACCGTTTTCTGAAAACCCACGCCCACGTGTAATTAGTAAACGGGGTTAGCGCTATCTCATCGCTAGGAGAAGAGTGGAGAGTAGGCCTATAAAACAGGGACCCATCCATCCGATATTCAGACGTGATTTACCAGAGCCAGTAAGAGCACCTTCACGCCAGTCGACTCTCTGACAAATTTCAGTGTACCAAAAATATTCTATCAGTTTTACATGTCAAAATAAAGTCTATGTTCATAATATTCTACAATTGACTTAGAATTATTTACACCTCGCATCTCTTGTCTTATACACCACGATCTGTGGGCTGGACCACTACACTATAATTTGTTATTATACATGTTACCTACAATTTTGTATTTTAATTTATAACTAAAAAAAATAAAAGATAAAAAACAAAATATAGATTAAAATTACAGTTCACATAACAACCATTTTACAATTAGGTTAAATTTTATTTGATACCCAGATTTTTTGTTTATATTAAAGTAAAACTTTTTTTTTAAGATTTGTTTTCTTTGCATTAAAATTAGATGGACCTAAATAGTCCAGAAAATGTTTTTCAAAATGTTTTTTTGTATAGTCACTTTGATATCATACGCTCTTTTTTCACGTTCATTGATTTGTGTAAATCTATTATTTTTAGAAACATATAATATGGCAAATTGATTATACAACAACCTGACCGGTAAAAAACTTAGTTCCTTGTAGTTTGAAACAAAGGAACCAGTTTTAGGAACCATTTAAGTATATTCTGATAACTATGTTTTTTTGTGTAATTATAGACCTTAATGTAATTTTCAGAACAACATCCCCAAACTATTAAACCGTATTGGAAAATAGATTTATGTATCGCATTATATACAGTGCACACTGCACATGGTTTCTTTGGATTATAGTTTGTTTAATTTATACATTTTGAAAATGATAGATCTTACTATCTTAGGCGCATAACTATATCTGAAACAATATGTATTTTCCAGCCTAAGTTACAATAAAAAAATTATGCTTTAATGGCGCAGATGGTGTTTGTGATCGTTTTTTTTTAATTTCTTGCTCTTCAAACAAATTTGAGCATCCGCCTATTCCGCGTTTGGCGATTCCACTTTGTGTAACAGATACATTTTCTCTAAATTTTGCTAATGGCATTTTGTTGCCGATGATTTTTTGTACATAATCCATGAATTTACGACTGTCATATCTAGTAAGTGATAAAATATTTTTATGTACCATTTTTTTGTTCTCATTATTATTCTGTACCGCCCTATCAATGAATCCATCAGATCAACACCTCCCATGTGCTTATTATATACTTCGATAATTTTTGGCCTTTCAATTTCTATATTTTGTTTTTGTTTTTTATCGTATCGACGTACTTTGGTTGGTTCGAGGGCGCCAATAAAAGTGGAGGTGATATTTACAATTTTATTGTCTTTCCACGATACTGTTGTAATTGGCACACCATAAACTACTGTAAAACATTCGTCAAATGTTTCTCGAGGTCTTTTTAGCATCTCTTTCTCAGGTATAAGCGCTATATCAGGAAATTTATTCCTTCTAAACGTCCCTACTGTGTGTATTCCTAATTTTTCTAAATACACCATAACCGGAATTGACGTGTAATAATTGTCAAAGTAAAGTTTATGGTTTTCATTTCTCGGTATTACTCTTGAAACTCTTACTTCGACATTACCTGTTGCACCTAGGTCTGGTTCAAACATTTTCTGACGTTCTACAGAATTGTTTTCGTTACCCTTGTAAATTTCAAAATTGTAGGCGTAACCTTTCACTCCACAGTCCACAGAGAAAGAGAACAAATAATTTATATCCCCATTTATGTGGTTTAAGGGGTAAATATTGTTTCATATACGAACGCGCCTTTGTTGGGCACAACTGTTCGTCCAGTGCTAGACATTCATCAAAAGGCACAGAAGAAAATTTAGCTTTTAGTAACTCAATAATCTGACGGATTTTGAACAACCTATCACGGTCTTCATGATTTGGAGGGAGATCTAAATAATTATTGTTAAAATGTAGAAATCTTTTTATTCCTTCGAAGTTATTTACGATCATATAGTTTTTTATATTGATATTTCCTAAATTGTCTGACCAAAATAACCTTGAGTTTGGAACATGTTGAACGGACATAATAATAATTATTTCAAGAAACTTTTGTAATTCTTATTTTGAAAGAGTAATCGGCTTTGAAGGGCCCACTTGCGCGCTGTAAAGTTCTGTCTGTTCAACTATTATAGATAATAGTGCATTCGTCGAAAAAATAATTTAAAAAATCTTTAGATGTTTCTAAATTTTTTAGGTTAATTGTCATTGGTAATTCAGTGTTAAATTTTATAAAAGATTCATTTTGTGAAAAATTACCTTTTATCCATTTGGTTGAATAATCCTTTTTTTAAGACGTAAAGTTGGAGTTTTTTGCTTATTTTTAGCAGAATTTTTATCCCTGCGAGCAGTGGCGGCTACAGTAAATTTACCATATGTATCCAAATTACTAAAATCTGTGGACACCCACCCACCAACCTTTCCTTACACACATAAATATAAATGTATTATTATACACCTACATTTGTTTAGGTAAAATGTTTTATTTGAATGTTAGAATATTTCAGATCATTCAAGTTTGATGTTAAAAAAAAATTAAAAATATCATTAAACATTAAACAATTTATATACTCACCTATATTCTATAACACTTTTTAAAAGCTTAAAATTATAATGGTATTTAATATTTATAGACACATATGAAAGTATACTCACATTAGAATAATTATCAATGAAAAAGGTCAACACCACTAAAATTAAATTACAAAAAATATAATTTTCAATATTTTGTTTTAATTTATGTAATAAATAGGTACAAAATAAAATAATAAATATGATAGTTAATACTAAATAGCCAAATAGGTGTAAACTTCAAGCATTAAATTCATTTATAAGGTTCCCATGAGATGCAAATTTGTTAATGATAGTATTGGTGTCACATTTTATGTCTTGTTCACAATATACCATCATCAATGATTCAAGTCGCTCTTGTGTCATAGTTGTTCTCAATCTGTTTTTCACAATTTTTAATTTGGAAAATTGTCTTTCTGTTGAAGCACTAGAAAGCGGTAAAGTCAATGCAATGCGAAGTGCATTGTTTAGAGTAGGAAATACTTCAATTAGACCTCCAGCTACAAATACGTCATAAACAGTTGAAATACTTGATAAATTATTTTTTTCTTTTGAATTTTCATCTTCAATATTTTCAAAGTCTTCACTATCACAGTCATCTTGGCTATCATAACTTTCAAGATTGTTTTCATGGAATGTTTTTGGAAGATTTGAAGTCAATTCAAAGTTCAAATATACTTTAGAAAAATGAAAGTATTCTTTAATAAGTTCATGTTGATTTATAAAAGAATTATAAATCTTTGCAAAATTATAAAATGCATCAGTAGGTAATTTACTTGTACTATTAAAAACTTCTTTTAATCGTTTTCTACTAAACAGAGAAAGGTCTTTATAGACTTCCAGAGATTCTTTAGAAAAATAAGAGCCAAATGATTGGTCTATTATATCTAAACCATAGAAAAATGAATTTACTTTTATGTTATGCAATGGATCTTGAATTGAGTCGTCTTGAGATGTTTCACCTGGCATTAATTTTTTTCTCCTAATGCGAGATTCTTTTAATTTAGTAAAACAAAATTCCGAAGAAGATTCAAAATATTCCATTTCTTTAACAATGTCCATAAAAACTGTATCGCAACGAAGTTTTCAAATAGATTCACGAGTTTCTTCAATGCAATTCACAGCTGCTAACAAGTCTAAATCAGATTTTTGTAAAATTTGATTTACTGGAGCAAGAATACTAAATATTTTTTTGAAACAATGAGCAATCAACAAAAATCGCTCGGATAAAAGATAGTCACTTAGACACCCTGCAAGATGTCCAATTTTTTTATCATCGGGACCTTCTTTGGATTGTATTTCATCAAGGGCCGCTACAACAGCTTCGAATGTGTCTAATACTGTAACAAGAGCAACAGAGAAAGACATCCAAGCTTGTAGCAGCTCTTTTCAGCCGACGCATTTGTTGTTTAGGATAAAGTTGTTTATAATGTCTTTCATAACATTCTACTCTACACTTTCCTGCAGTAAGAAATGTAAAAACTGATTCCAAATTTCCAAAAACATCCATTGCATCTTTGCAACACCCAACTATATAATACCAAGTTTAAGCGATGTGCATGACACCATACATACAAGGCAGATGAATTTACTTTTTGGACGTGGCTTCGTAGACCTTCAAATTGTCCTCTCATATTTGGAGCTCCATCGTAGGATTGACCGATTAGATCATTTTTCCAGTCTAAATTTTTCTCTGAACATACTAGTTGAAATAGAGAAAATAACTCACGTCCACTAGTATTTGAGGACTCTTTAACTGCTATAAGACGCTCTGAAATAATTGAAGTTTTATTATGAACATAACGAATGACGAATGCAACTTGTTCCTTCCTGGATGCATCAAAAGTGCTATCAATAAATAAACTGAAAAATCTGGCATACTTGACATCTGTTTGAATTACTGTCAAGATACTTTCTGCTACAGAATCAATCAGCTGATTTTGCCTAAGTTTAGAAATAAAACTAACATGGGATTTTTTACTCGAATTTTGCAATTTAGAGGTATAAGCTGCCATACATGGTGATCTTTTTGAAAATAAGTCAACAAGTGATAAGAAATTACCTCTATTTCTATCCTTCCAACCTTCTCTATGTCCTCTAAAAGCAAGGCCATTAGAAGCCAAAAAAATAGTTATATCAATGAGATCTTTGACTACTTCTTTGTTAAAAGCAACTTCTTTTTTTTTGTTCTTGAATTGCAGGTATCAAAGGTAAAGAAATACTTTTTATCTTAAGTTTTAATGTTGCTTCAATATGCGCATCAGTACATTCATGATTAACTATACTGGAAATTGCTCTTGACCATGCTTGAAAACCATCTAATGTCCATGCTTTTTTAGTATTTCGCCCAATTAATATACATGGGTGACAAAAGATTTTGTTTTCTATTATTGAGTAACTTAACCACTGACGTTTGACTGGAGCACAACCCGGTACATCTTTCCAGTACCATGATGCATGGAATGACCGACCAGAATTATCTTTTGGAAATTCACAATTTACCAAATCATCCTCAGTGGGCTGAAAGGGTCCTTTTTTTATAAGATATTCAATAAATTCATGTGAAAATGGCCTTGAGCGACAAAAGCTGACTGGATCATTGGAAATGTGTCCATAATCATTAACAGTTTTATTTTTAGTATTTTCATCATTAAACAAATCTATAATAAACAAATAAACAAGGTCAAATAAAATAAGAAATAAACATACTTCAATATGTAAAATTACCATAGCACAAATTATGATAATAATAGTTATTTTATTTGAATACAAAATTATAATAACTAGAGATAGAAAAATAGAAGTTTGATTGTTTGTAAACTTTTGTATGTATGTATTTTTATTTTACTATACACACATTCCACACACATGAGAAATATTGAGAATATGTATTATACTATTATAGTTCTTTTAAAAAATGTAAATATTTGTTATAATACCTTCAGTTTCAGTACTGAATGGTGTCATACTATCTTGTCTCAAGTATGTGGTTTGATCCTCGCTAGATATATTTGTCTCATTATTAGACGCATAATCAATGGACACAGGCTCTGTAAATATAACATAAATGTAATTAAATTATTTAAATTTTAAAATTTAACTAGTTTTGATCACTATACAATACACTCAATACAAGTAATTTATAATAAAATTAGTAAGTTAAAAGTTTTACCTTCTATCATTGTAACATCAGTGTTCAACACTTTTTCGCTAATAATATTGACATTACATCCACTGGTTGTTTCTAAAAAATATTCACCAAAACCATAATAAAATGTTGTAAAAGTACCTGTATCAGTTTTTAAAAGTATGCTTATGTACCTACTGTAAATACAAAATGCAAATTTAAAATACTAAATAAATATAAGCATTACCATTTATTTTAGCATTGTTAATATTTGTTTCAACTTCATTGGTAGTATGATCTTCATAACAATCTTTTTACAAACAAAAATAAAAAATAAATAAATAAATTATAATATTAGATTATTATTAATTTATTACATAATTATAAATAAATATTAGGTATTAGATATTATTATCTTACAACTAAAATTAATAATATTTTAGGAGATCCACCATGTCACCATAGATAAAAGATAAACTCGGCCGTTTCCTTGTAATTAACACCATAATTGAAGATGTGGGTCGTGGGTGCAACAACCAGACATTTCCATATTATGAAAATGTTCAGGAGAGAAATAATATTTTAAAATATTTCTAAAAATTGCATTATACTTTTGTCTATTATTGCAAGACCCTGATTATATTTTAAAAGTAATTATTTTTTTCTTAAAATATTATTTTTGTTCTACGTAATTTTTCCAAATTTTTCGAAAATAGTTTAAAAATAGATAATTTGGATTAACAACCAGCTGTCACCTGACTACCCGAGTGGCCCTGTGTTATACTATCATAAATCATGATATTGTTCCGCAGAGTTCTTTAATAGACTAATAGTATATTTAATATTAGAATCATTCTAAATTCTAATAGAACGCATCGCTAGGACTATTTCCCCAGCTGCCCAGCGTCAGTCAGTGCATGTTGCATGTTTCATGCCTATTGCCTGCATTACTGCAACCAGCGTTAATTAGAGCAATAGACCAAGATAATTATGTACATACTATTTGCCATTTACACTATATTATAATAAAATACCTATAATATGTCAAGCAGTCAACCACCAGTGTTGTAAAGTATTTGAGTAAAAGTATTTGAGTAAATGTATTTAAATACTTTTATCGTATTTAGAATACTTTTTAAATACTTTTTGGTTTAAGTATTTGAAAAGTATTTTTAATACTTTCTTAGACGTATTTGTATTTGAAAATCAAATACTTTTATACAAATACTTATGAAAATTCAAACACGAATTATTCGTCAATTGTCAGTTTGTCACATTTATTTTTATTTTTTTTTTAAATTGTTATAGTAGGTACATACTATATTATAATATTTTTTCGTTCATAAATGTTGAGAACCCCTGTTCCCTATTTCTGTTGTCTGGTTCGTTCACAAATATCATTCTATCTCTCTCCCGTAGTTACTTGATAGTAGATATTATCTTGAGTATATTATCATTTCTCTCGTAATACGTGGTAATACTGAAGATATATCTATAAATAGTTTGGGACGTTTGGGTTAAACCAAGTTTTCGATCGAAGAGATTATTCTGTGTGTAATTTAGTGTATACGATTCATCATTATGTTTATAGCCTATCGGTCTATTCTGTGATTATTATTTGTAAATACAAAATATCATTTTTGATAATATACATTATTTCTAATATCCAATCGGCAATCACTTAATCACTGTATTAGTTCGATACGCCCACAGATGGAGATGTATACGCCATACACGCATATACGCGGTATATATACCTAATTCTTTTTACCTGTTGTAGCTCTGCTCAGTGCTCATTAATAAACATTTTTTTTGAAGTGTAATAAGTGAGATTGTTACGTTGAATACTACTAAAATATAAGTTGATAATTCCACGTTTTTATTTATTAAAATATTATATTCCGTGATGTCGTTGCAACCCGAGGAGAACGAAGTCGGGCAAACACAGATTGACGGTGTAGTGACGAAGGAGGCTGCAATTATTAAATTACCGTGGGACGCTTACAACAAACATTTTCGAATTGTAAAATTAATAGATGAACAAATGTCGTATTCTAAATACTATGTTAAATGTTTACACTGTATTGGACCAAAAACATTATGTGCTGACACTAGATCAACTTCGAATCTTAGGAAACATTTGGCTGTAAGTACCTACTACTTATACTCGGTAAAAATATTTAACGCTCCTTTGATTAAAATAATGTTATAAATTATAATTATACTTTGGATAATAATTTCTTACATAGTAAATAATTATATACACAATTCTACTGGATACCATCATTTTCACTGTTTTGTAGAGTCAACACAAAACAGCACTTGATGAAATAACCAAAGAATCCTCTTGTGTAGAATCGTGTAAAAAACTTAAATTAATGCACGGAGATACAAGTCAATTAACATTGAAGGAAAGTCTTTTTAAAAAAAGTTGTCCCACAATAGGCACTATACTGAAGAGAAATAGTAACAAAATAACACAATGTAAGTATTATACTATTATTATTACTTATGTCTTATTTATTACTTATTTTCTTATTTATTACTTATTTTCTTATTTATTTGCTTTATAATATCTTTGAATACTGAATGTGATTGTAATTTAAAATTATTATAATTTCATTTCCCTTGACTATTATTGGTAGTAAATTGACTATTCAATTTTAAATTGAAATAATAATTTCACTCTATTAGAGCGAAAAAGTTTATTTTGGGAATTGCAAAAATGTTTATTCAAAGGTTTATAAATAAAAATACTAATAAATAATTGGTACTTATTTTTCTAGCTAACTTGGACACAATGATTCAAAAATTGATAATAAATCAATGTTTGCCATTTTCATTGGTAGAGTCTGATGATTTTAAGTTGTTAGTGCAAGAAGGATACCCTAATCTAAAAGTAATAAGTCGTCCTACATTGATGAAACGACTTGATAGCAATACAATCGAAATTTTAAAAAATATGAAAAAAAATATGAGTCTTGTTAATCATATAACTACAACAGCTGATTGTTGGTCTATATTTAAGAGGTAAATAATTATTAATTATTAGGTAGTAATTAATAATAAGCCTTAATCGGCTTAATCTATTTACAATTTGTGTTCATTGTTACTTTTCTAAGTATAACTGGTATTTGATATTTGTTATTCATACCTACCAAATTATGTTTAACTGTAATATTTAATTAATATTCAAATAATATGACTAAATTAATTAATTTATTAAAATTTCTGATAATTTATTTTCAGATCCTATATTGGCATTACTGGTCATTGGATTAATGACTCTTTGGTAAGAGTATCTTGTCTATTAGCAATTAAACGGCTAGAAGGAAAACACACATATGACATATTAGCTAAAACAATGGAAGCTGTTTACTCAGAATTTGATATTAACAGTAAAATTTCCCATACAACAACTGACAATGGGTCAAATTTTGTGAAAAGTTTCAAGTGAGTAATCTATGTATATATTTATAAATCTATTTTTACATGTATTTTGCTTCATTTTAGGGTTTACAGTAAGAAAGATTATTCTTCGACAGAATCCAATTTGAATACATTTGTGAATGAAGTTTTAGAAATGTCTGATGAGGAAGAAAATATTGTAGATGGCTATAATAACAGTGGTGAGGTAGATGATTTATCAGAAGGAGTAGCCATACTACCAATTATTGATGTTTTGCTCTTGGGTGAAAATAATACTGAAAATAGTGAATTTGAATATTTATACAGTTTACCAAAACACCATCGCTTTGCTGCACATACCCTCAACTTAGTAGCTACAAAAGTAAATTTTAATTGATTTATTAAATAAATATTAATTATTTATAATTTAATATCTATTACATTATTTCATAGGATTCCGAAACTGCATTACGCTGTTACCAATATAAAAAACAAAGTCGATCAACTTTTGCAAAAATTAATGATATTTTCAATAAACAGAACCGTTCTACCCAAATTGCCGATATAATAAAAAATTCTCTAGGCGTATATCTCAAAACACCAAATGCCACTCGATGGAATTCGCTATATGACAGTATGAAATTTTTACTTAACTGTTACAAGTCAAGTATTTCTAAATTTAATACTATGTGTGACGAAATTAAAGTTTTAAGAATTAAAAAGAACGATTCTGATTTTATCGAAGAGTACTGTACAGCTATGGAGCCTCTAGCTATTTCTCTTGATATCCTTCAGGTATGGTTCATAATGTTGAGAAAATTATGTAATTTAAAAATTAATAATTCAAACTGTAAAAACAAATTTATCACCAAATATTATCATTTTCTCTGCATTATAATATAATTGTCCCCCAATATTCAATTAACATATAATTTTTTTTTTAGGGTGAACATAACATGTACTTTGGATATTTATTGCCCACTATAACGGAGTTAATGTTAAAATTGGAAAAACTCAAAAATAGTCACATGCAATATTGTCAGCTTTTAATAACTTCTCTTCATGAAGGAGTTAATGAAAGATTTGGAGAACTTTTAAATGATGAATTCCTCATAATTGCAGCGACATCACATCCATTTTTTAAAACAGCGTGGATAGCTAATGAATATAGGAAAAATACTGCAATCACTCTTTTGCGAGACGCTGTTATGTTGGCTCATGTAAATAAGCCAACAGGTGTATGTTTAAACAGTCCCATAAGTGAACATGATGTTGATAGTGACAGTGATGACAATGCTAGTACATCATTCTTTTCTTGGACACAAACAAAACCTGAAAACATTGCAGTCGACGTAGAATTGGGTGATTTCTTAAAGAGAAGTACAACAAAGAAATTGGAAACTCTTAATTTGACTCCTACATTAAAGAAAGTGTTTATAAAGTACAATACTCCACTTCCATCTAGTGCTCCAGTTGAGCGTGTATTTAGTGTTGGTGGAGCTGTTTTGTCAAAAAAAAGGGGGAAAATGAGCGACGAACATTTTGAAAAAACTATGTTATTGAAATGTAATAAAATGTTTTGGGAATGATATTTTTTTTTGTAAAGTTTTTTATGATTGTAATATTTCATTTACAGATGTGAGCCGT